GACGCCATGATTGTTTTGCACTTTTATTTGCCTGGGTGTTCTTTATTCATCAACTTGCTTAAGAACAATTAAAACCGCATAAAGAGAAACACTGTTTTTTAAAAAGAAAGACCAAACCATATCACTGGAACTTAGAGCCGCCCGTATCTCTACTGTATATGTAACCTTTTCAACTTGATTTTGTGTTTTTTCCCAATTTTACAATTAATGTAAGAAATTTGGATCAAAGCAGTTTTACCAGACATCTATTCTGCCCGGAAATGTGGACATTCAAGCCTATTTTTGCAATAAATGGTACAACGTGTAATATTAACCATTTTTCTTTCTCGAGCTGTCCTTTATATTCCCCTACACCCCCCTTACCCCACCCCCACGCGTTCCAAAGTGTATGAACACCAATAAAAACGGGGTGGCGGAGAGAATACCAGTCTACCCCGCAGGCAACCTCCAGCCATGAGAAAACAGTATCCAGTAAAAGATTTAGTACTCTATCTGATACACTCGAACTTTCCATAGATAATGTTCCGATTGAAAAAGTTTCCTCTGTGAAATCCCTTGGAATATATATCGGTGAAAATTAAGCGTGGTATTCCTACGTTGATAAACTGTGTAAAATGACCATAAAGCCATAAAGCGAATCCACTCGACTTAATGTAAACAACTCACTAGTTTAGTCTCACTTTGATTACTGCGGCCTAATCTGGGGTAATTGTGGCAAAAAATTATCTAACAAGCTACAAAAACTACAAAAACTGTGCTGCGCGTCTAATAACTTCATCAAGCTATGACGTATATGCCGATTTCTTGTTTCACAAACTCAGTTGGAAAGACTTGAAATCTCAACCTTAAATTCAGAAAGCCTTGATGGTTTTCAAGTCTTTTTAAGGTCTGGCTCCCGAATATCTCACGTCTAAATTTATAAAGTGAAATGAATCAGACAATCCTCTGAAGGACTTGGTAAACAAACTTGTTTGCCTTTTTCCAAGAACTAACTACATGAAAAATAGCTTTATTTATAGCGGCGCAATCCTTTGGAATAGCTTAGGGCCTGTAACATAAGAGAGTCTGGTTCATAGAACAAATTTAAACACCTTCTCAATCATAATTATTAA